ACACTCATTTCCCCACCGCAACCCTTCATGTGAGGGCAGAAGAGCTTCTTATTGAGAAACCCAGTGTTAGAAATAACAAGGCAAGGAATTGACAACTGAGTCTTTCAAGCAAGTCTTTTGTTTACTTGGAGAAAGAGACAAGTGGTTTCTTCCCTCTTTCTGATCTTAGCTTTTCCTTCCTGGCTTTCTCAAGTGTCCGAAAAAAATAAGAGCAGACACACAGAAGGAGAAGATTTTTAAACCTTCACTGTCAAAGCTCTTTTTTATTTACATGAGTAACTCTAAATCCTATTGACTAGCTAGCCCTAGGGGTGGAAGGGGTGTGTGGAAAGCTTAATGTCTTGCCTAGCAGTATTTGGAGCCCCAGTTAGCCTGGAGCTGAGCCATCCATTAACCCCAAATGGCCCCCCTCCCCCATCTCCCCTCATAGCCTCCTGCTGTCCCTGGCTTCTCTCAAACAACGTCTTGTATCTCCAGCTTCCTTCCTGTCTACATCCTTCCTGCCCATCCTGTGGCTGGATCTTTCAAAGTGGTTCTGTTCTCTCTGACGAGGGAAGGGTGAGACCGAGTTTACCAGAGAAACAGCTAGCGCTCAGTGTTTTGTTTTCTGTGAATTTCTCTTCCGGCATCACAAAATACATTTGTGAACCAGTACAAAGTTATTAAACCCGTTACAGTTCAGGCAGATTTGCTCTATAAATCACACATCTGTATTATTTTGCTTCTTGCTCACCCTCTTTTCCAGTTTATGTTTATGTTTCTAGTCCTCTTATCTTCAGTTTTTGTGTTTTCCATTTGCAGAATCTGACAGCAAGCAGCGTTGCATGCGTATTAACTACTAGTATAACTGAGACATATACACTCTGCCTGGTTGGCTAAGTCAAAGCCTTTCATAGTTACTGAAGCCAAGATCTTATTGCCAGTCTATGCTGTGAAGATCTGTTAATTTTACTTGAAATTATGTTAACACTTATATTTCCAGCTTACAAGCAAGGTGTAAATTGAAATTTGAATGTAAGGTGTTCTGATCCCATAGTTTGGAATGACCTTTAGAGTGTAAAACTGTCCATGCGGTCACTCATAGACAAATGGCCCATTTTGTCTGTGCCCAAATGTATCATAATTTCTTTGATTTATGATACACTAGAGGCCCAGTGCACAAATTCGTGCATGGGTGGAGTCCCTCAGCCTGGCCGGAGATCGTGGTTGATCTGGACCATCTCACCCAGTCCCAATTAGGGCCGATCAGGGCTGGCCGGCTTGCGGGGGGGACTGCGGGGAGGTTAGCCGGCTGCAGGAGGTTGGCTGTGGGAGTGCACTGACCACCAGGGGGCAGCTCCTGCATTGAGCGTCTGCCCCCTGGTGGTCAGTGGGCATCATAGAGACTGATTGACTGGTTGTTCGGTGGACTGGTCATAATGGTCACATAGGCTTTTATATATGTAGATTGTTAAGTTTTATTATTCTGAAGATGGCTTTTCTAATAGCCATCAATGCAGAATCTCTTGGGGCCTCCGGGCTAACGTCTCCCACAAGGTTGTTCATGTGGTGTTGAAGGGCTTGTTCTGCATTAGCCCCTGAGGAGTCTCTTTTCCTACCGAGGTGGCCTGTTGGAGCCAGTACATCACGTGGCTGCGTGTTTCTCGGGGGGGGGCGGGTGCCGAGATGCTGGGGAAGGAGGGCGTGAGGGCATCTGGAGAGACGGGTTCCGCTTTAGAAGCCCTCCTCTTTGGGAAACGGACTTTCGGGGGTGACATTTCTCTCTGGGACGATGAAGGGAAATGCAGTTAAGGCTAATAGCTATGCTGTGTGCTCTGAAGGGACCCTCGATGTATCAGGACAGGGTGAGCGGTGAAGGGGAATGAAAGAGCTGGTTTCTGAACAGAGGCTGGTGGTAGCTGCCTTTCTCCCACGGTGCTTGCGGGAAGCACGTGCTTTGTTTTCACATCAATTTCTTAGCACTTGTGTTTCTCCAACACACACATTCACGGCAAGTCAACATACAACACACTCCCGGGAACATCTGTCATCTTCTGTGTAAATACCAGTCTTATTGTGCATCCATCTATTTAGCCACAAATAGAAAATTTTCTATTGCCTCAATGTTTTAACTAAAATGTTCTTAGCAAAGGAGGTGCTCTTAGCCAGTGGGTGCTGGAAAGAAAACACTCAAACAAGATTCTGATCAATCACCAGTTTTACACAGCAAGTAACTAACCATGGCAATTACTAGTAAAAGGACATGGCTTTTGGGTAATGGCTGGGAGTAATCCTTTTTTATTGTCAATACTCTTCCATTCTGCTATGTTTCTGTATTTTCTTGTCTTTGCTTGTTTCAGGCATTCTCAATTTAAAACCATTTTTGTCTTGATATGTCAAAATGTGTTGTCTATTTCACTTTTATATACTTTTTGGGGGGATTAGCTTATATAATTATGAAATTATGTATAAACTAAGAATGAGTTTATTTTTGGTATTTTAAAAGTGAATCATTAAATTCATTGTGCTTTGCCTGATCAATGTTTAAAAATGTGCTTTTAAATATTTCTTTTAGTTAGGTGACACATAAAATATATTCTTGTAAAAATCATATAATACAGCCCTAGCTGGTTTGGCTCAGTGGATAGAGTGTCAGCCTGCGGACTGAAGGGTCCCAGGTTTAATTCTGGTCAAGGGCACATGCCTGGGTTACGGGTTCGATTCCCAGTCAAGGGCGTGCAGGGAGCAGCCGATCAATGATTCTCTCTCATCATTGATGTTTCTATTTTTCTTTCCCTCTCCTTTCCTCTCTGAAATCAATAAAAATATAGATAAAAGAATCATATAATACAGAAGTATGCAACATGAAAACCTCCCCATATCCCCAACTTCTCTCCCTGGGATTAGCCACTTTTAACAGTATGCTGTATAGCCTTCCTGCGGCTTTCTTTGCATATCAGTTTGTGGATGTATACAAATACATAGTTTTAAAAGTACATGGAATCAGCCTAAACATGTTTTCACTTTCTCTTTTTCACTTCACAGTATGGTAGGATTTTCCCAAGTCATTACAAGGCTTCCCGCCTGTCCTTTTATTAGCTCCACCATAACACAGTACCGATTGAATCAGTGCCACACTTGATCCATTTTCCTATTGATGGACAATGACATTGTATTATGTTTTATTTTCTTGTTTTTGTCATTTGTGTAATGAAGTTGTGTTTTGTAGGCTAGATATTTATAGTTAGACTCATTGGGCAAAAAGGATGGATATTTAAAATTTGAATGCTATCATTGAATTGCCTGCATTGAATTGGCCACATCCATTTTCATGTTCAACTCAAAAAAGATTACAATGTTTTCTCCTAAATTCTAGAAATCAGAAATATTTAAAAGGTTGCCCATCTAGTGATGAAAAATATTTTCCTGTGTTTGAATGTGCATTACCCAAAAAACAGTTGAAGCTGAGAATGTTCTCCATATGTCTATTAGCCATTTGCATTGTTTAGTAGGATTTCCTGCTTCTTTGTTTTGTTGTTTATTCCGTTGGGTCTTGAACATTTTCCAGTGCCTATGGCACGAGCGGGGCCCAGGTGTTATTCCGGTTTTAAGTGGCCATAAGAGCCACTCATGGTGCTGAAGGGGTTTTCAGAGATGAGGCCGGGACTCACCTTTTCCTCGCAGGCAGTCCTACTTTATTTATTTTTAGCAATCCAATTTATTTTATATTTTCTGTTAAAAAATGCAGCAAGGCCATGGCAGGTGGAGAGCTGGGTAAAGATTCCTAAATGATTGACAGGTGGGAATGTGCAATACTTCTGCCCTTGGTGTGTGGCCTGTAAATTGTTCATGAGGCGTTACAGGTCTCAGGCAAGTGAAAGGGATGCTAGTAAGTGAATCCTGAAGTGCAGAGCATCGTTATTTTGTTGGTATTGGTAGACTTAGGCCACTATTAAAGGCTCTGGTTTCTCAAAAGTAATACACAATATGGAACATTTTTAAAAATACAGAAGACTGGAAAGATGTGGAAAATTAATTGCTTGATGATCACCACCCCCAAATAGTATTTTCCCTTTAAATAGGTTATATAGTTAGGAGCATATGAAATAGACCTTTTATATCTTTTAAAAATTCGGTGTTATAAAATATGTTCCTAGCAAAACCCTTGAGAAAGAATGGCAGTCACCTGAAATTATAAGCCAAGTTTGAGTTCTTTAAGGGTTGTCTAGTTCTATTTTTGTTATTGATGTTTAGTTGGAATTCATGGCCAACAAAATGGTAAATCAATAGAAGAGATGACATGGACAGTTTTTGTTTTACATAACATTATTCAAGGAATTAAAATTTTCCCCAGTTTAGGTATACCTATCTAGCTCTAGCTAGATTTTTTACTGATTAAAATAAAAATTCTGGCTTAAAAATGTATCATCTTTTCTTTATTTTTGTGTGAAATGAACAGACATTTTAAGAATTACAGAGCTAAAACTTCAATGGTAAAGTTACTAAACTTAATAATAAAGATTTTCATCGTTGCTAACAATTTCAAATGTACAATTGCAAAAAATATGTTTGTTCATCTTTTAGAATATGTAATGTTACCCACAGTAGTCCACTGGATAATGGGCCACCTCATTTCTTTTCTTTTCTTGCAAAGAATGCCCTGAGTAGCCCGGCTGGCATGGCTCAGTGGTTGAGCGTTGACCTATGAACCAGGAGGTTATGGTTCGATTCCTGGCCAGAACACATGCCCAGGTTGAGGGCTCAATCCCCAGTGTGGGGTGTGCAGGAGGCAGCCAATCAATGATTCTCTCTTCTCATTGATGTTTCTATCTCTCTATCCCCCTCCCTTCTTCTCTAAAATCAATAAAAAAATATATATATTTTAAAAAGAGTGCCCTAAGTAACGAAAATATTGTGAAACCAGAAGTCTTAGGTTTCAATACCACAAATTTGTGCTGGAAATGTTTAGACTGACTGTAAGATTCTGACAAGTGTATTATAAAGTTTGGCCTAAAACCTTCATTCATGGTCTAGGGAAAAGTGAATCTCTTTGGTCAAATGTTTATTTTCTATTTAAATTGTAGGTGGTTAAACAAGCTTGGATTATCTGTAACCCATCATGAATCCACTACAAAAGACGAAGGTATGTTCTATTTTAAAATTATGAAAATTTAGCAAGAAAATTAGAATAGGTTGAAAAAACCATGTCAAGTTCTATACGTTGCCTTGTCCTAATGAAACATTCGTTGGCATTTAAAATTATCTGAAAACATGCAGAGACAATCGCACCGACTCGCCAGCATGGAATCGAGCTTCCTCTGCTGGCTGTGCGTACTGTTCACACTTCACCCACTCGTTAGCAACTGGAGGCTTCAGTGACATCTCACACAATTGCCAATGCAAATGTTTCATTGCCTCACTTACTGGATTCTTACTCATAGGCATCATCTCATCATGATCTAGACAGGTAACTTTCATCCCACTGTTTCCTTTCGGATATTTTAATATTTCCACCAGATGTGTGCTGAGAGTAATTACCCTAAGTTTGTATTAGGAACCTGAAGGTCAGATTGGGACACAGGCCGAATTTCAGTCTTTCAGCCCAGTCTGTAGCTTTCAGGGTTCACAGCTACAGGCTTCTGATTCTCCTTAATGATGCAAGTGCTCCTTCATATGGAAAAGAAGAGGCGTTAGGTGCCAGGGTCGCAGAGCTGATGCTATTCTGAAATGCTCAAACCACATAAAACTTGGCAATTGGAACTAGAGAATTATATCTTTGGATAACAAAATCAAACAATCTTAATTTAGACATAGAACAGTGGCAACTAGGCTTAAAACAATAGAGAGATGCATTACAATACTGTGAAATCAATGTGCTAACTATCTCCCTGGTCCTATTTCCCAAAAAATAAATGGTTCTAGTTGTAAAGTCAGAGGGAAGGTGGGGAGGGTAGGTGGGTGGGAAGAGAAAAAATAAAGAACTTGTATCCATATATGCATAACCCATGGACATAGACAATAGGGTGGTGACGGCCTGGGGTGGGGTTAGGGGAGGTGGTTAGAAGAGGTCAATGAGGGGAAAGGGGGGCAGATGTAATACTTTCAACAATAAAGATTTAAAAAAATAAAGTACACTGATATGTTGAAAAAAATAACTACATAAAAGCCTCTCCTTATCCTGGTATCTAAGGCCTTCCATGATACGGCCTCAAGGAGCCTTTCAGTTTATTTTTCCACCATCTCTTTTAGGGGCTTCATATAGTTGCACTGATGGCCTGCTACTAACATCACTCTTGGCACCACTGAGGGTTTGCTTATTCTTTCAATTTCAGCTCATTATGGTTCCTGGGATCAGAGTTAATCACTATTGATGTTATGCTCTCTTAATATATGAGGAATTATTTTATTTTGCCTGAGCTACCTATGGGGAGGCCTCTTCCTGTGGGTTGGACGCTCCTTGAGGGCAGAAACCCTGATGTGGCCACTGGTTTTCCCTTCTCCCGTAACCCCCTTGCACCCACTAGCTCACTAGATGAGCACTTTCTGAATTGGGTTGGAATGGCGCTAGCCAGATGGACAGACCTCTGCTCGTGCATTATGGCGTAAGTGATAACCTGTGCCATGACCATGGAAACATTAAGCATTTTCATTTTTGTTATAGAATGCTACAGTGAGAGTGAACAGGATGATCCAGAAATAGCTGTGGAGACAGCACCGCCTCCTATCTCTTCGGAGACTTTGTCCCCCTTGGTATGTACCCACGAAATTAGTCTGCTGTTCATTGATCAAGTGCATGGATGTCGTTCCCTCCAATTGGGTAGAAATGACCTTGACTGATAAATTTTTAGAAAGGCTAAATTAAGATACTTGCCAAAGAACAAGTACAATTCTCAGGGTGCTGATTTTGAGCCTCCTCCATAGCAACCCACTCGTATGACAAACTTGGAGTACTTGTGCGTGACCCACAGATGTGCCATTCTCAGAGGATTCACAGTAATAAAGACGGCTTCTTGGTGATAGGCCAGTGCTTGCATAGACTCATTTTATAACTTTTATTTATACCTTACTTACTCTCAGAGAGAAATGAAAGGGCCCTGCCTAGGTGCATGTGTTACAATGTGAAATTAATGTAAAGGTGATAAAGATAGCAGCATTAAGAGAAAACTAGAGTCAGAAAGATAGCTGGAAGCCAGGAGCGGGTTTAGTGCATTAAATCTTCACATGGAATGATTCTGTATATTCACTAGAGAACAGTCCAGGTTTGAGTCTAAGCTTTGAAAGTATCCAATGTAAGTTCGGGTTATTAATGGATTTTTGTTTTGCCAAGTCCTGGATTTAAGGTGTTGAATATCAACTAGATAACAACCTCTCCTGCTTTACCCTCTGCCAGTGCAGGATTATGGTCACTTTTCTAATTTATTTGGCTAGCAGCCAAACCATAAATAAATATTTACTGAATGAATGTTTTTTAAAAAATATCTATTAAATAGGATTAGCCAAAATTAAACGAGATATAAATAAAATTAAATTTTGAATATGGTAAATTTTGGACCAATTTTTGAACTAGTCTTGCAGTTTATCCTTTCTTCATACATTCATAGCTTTTTGTTAATGTGGTCTTCCTCTTTTGGAATCAGTCTCTGAATTGTGAAAAATCTTTTATTTTATCTATATCAAACTTAATGATATCTCCAGATCTCAGAGCGTCTCCCAGCTCTTAACAATGTTCTTATTTGATTACCCTTTATTGCTCCTAAAGAAGTTGAGGGGGTCTTTAATAGATGTTCCTTGTTGATTTAATAGAGAAACATATGTTTCCATTGAATTTCTCTCTCTCTTTTTACTCCCTTTCTCTTTCTCCTATTTTAACCTGTAACATAAAAAGATTGGTTGGTTCTCCCTCCTTGTCTTCCTGAAATTCCTTCTCTCTCCTACGGTGCCCCATATATGACTCTTGTATGATTTATTTTAGTTCTAAAATACTGTGATTTCCATTTTTTAATGGCAAATTAGTATCATAGATTACTAGAAGCATTGTCAGGTACCCAGGACTTTACTTGGTGAAAGTAAATGCAACCAATTATTGTCTTAGATGAAGGGTCATGACTCAGCTGCATTGTGCCATGACCGTCTCACATGCCATTACGGGGAATGCTGTTTTAAAACAAATAATTGAAAGGGTGCTTATGAGACCAGTAAGTTACATCATTGAAGTGGAAGGATGCTTTAGAATTTGGGGGTCATCACTCATATGTTATTTCTTCAAGTTCTGTGTTGAGCATTTTCTGGAAGGCCACTAAGACTAACATTTTTTCTGAAGAAATATGTTAGAAAATAGATAAATATTGAAGAGCTAGATTTTATTTTTCTTAGAAATAGAATATGTTCCTCTTTCTTGCATATTTCCCAGGCAGATTTTGTTTCTTCTTGTTTCTGAAAAACAGACATGTAAGACACTTGGTTAACATAACATTTAAGCTTTTTATTTAAACAGATGAAATTTTAAAAATCATAGTAACTTTTTCCAGAGTGTGTCTCAAGTTGTTGTTTTGGCTCAATCTCATGCAGTCTTCCACCCACCACCACCATACACACACACTCAGTTCTTGTTTTTTTTTTTTTAAAAAAAATTGGGTAATAAACTTTCATTTTGGAATGATGAACTCAGAAATATAAAATCACATTATCCTGGAAAATTTTCTCAAAAAATTTTAAAATCTTGACCTATAAATTTAGTCTAATATCCAGTCGTTCTAATGGCTGTGGAGGAAAGATGAGCTGTAGGACTTCAGCACTACACGGACTTGGACCTCTGCTTCTAGTGGCTGAATCACAGGGGACATGACAGGGTCTTCAATGAGTGAACAAGAGGTGTTTGTTTATGTTCCTTTTCCTTGAGAAGGCTTCACAGGGTGGGTAGTGGACGAGACATTCATTTATTCACAGAGAAGTTAGAAACGGGAGCTTTTTGACAGGCCTAGTAAAAAATCTCAAAATAGATAGGAGTCTGTAGGTTTCATAGAAGATCATTTGTAGAAATCACTATCCATGATTCCCTGAAATCACAAAAGAGCAAAAAAAGAACCAACTTCGTCCACCTTTAAAACCCAATATTATAAATTACAAAGTGATTTAAGAGCTATAACAACCATTAAAAACCTATACTGCATACCAGGTGGGGCAACAGTTGTTTGTATGGAAAATAATACAATAACTAATACATAATAATACAAGAATAAACTGTGTTTTGCACACTGAAAACTGTAAACCTACTTTTGCTCCACCCTGCATTTTCCCGCTAAACTTAATTTTTAAAAATCATTGCCTGAAAACTTGATCTGTGATTACATGCTTATTAATTCATTTAACAAATATTTGCTGAGAGCTACTGTTCTAAATACTTGGGACACATCGTGAATAAAAAAGACACGCACTCACTTCTTTGTGGACCCAAACTTCCAGTCGAAGGAAACTGATGCTTATTATCTGCTCTGTCAGTAGAAGTAGAGTAGGGTGAGTGAGGGAGGTCAGGAATGCTGGAGGTCAGGTTGTAGCAATGAATAGGAAGCCAGGACTGGCCTGGGTGAGAACTGAGATCTGAACAAAACTCTTGAAAGGTGGTGAGAGTCAGCCTGGTGGATTTTGGGGGAAGGAGTTGTCCAAGCATAGATCTCCTTGGTGCACTGAGGATAATGCAAGGAAGCCAGTGTGGTGGGAGCAGCGTGACAAAGATGAGAGCAGCAGGAAATGAGGATGGATGGGTGGTGGCCATACCATGTACAGCCTGTGCTGTTTGGCGTTATTGAGGGAGGCTTGGGAAAGTTTGAGCAGAGGAGGGAAGTGATCAAGTTCCATGTTGAAAGGACCATTCAGGTTGTTGTGTGGGAGAGACCGTGGGAGGTGGGGCTAAGTATAAAAGCAAAGAAATCTAGTGAGAGACACGGTGGTGATTCAGAGCAGGGCATAGATGAGACATGGAATGGTCAGATTTTGAATGTAGTTAGGTAGACCACCCAACAGGTGATCCACCTGGATCTGACACAGGAGGAAAGGAGAATATAAATGTTGATAATTCCAGCTGCAGGAAGCTCATGCAGATCACTTTTAACATGGCCGTCACATATTTGGCTGCTTTTCACAAGTACAATTCCTTTACTAGTATATCCAAATGATGAAAAAAAAAATCAACGAAGAAGAGCTAAGTAAAAACAAACACTGCACACGGTGGCCCATTGGGCAGTGGCAGAGGAGGAAGTCTCTTAAGCACAGGAAGTGATAAAATCAATTTTAGAAATGAAAATGTAATCCCAGTAGGATAAATCTTGCACAGCTGTTAAAGTTTACTTCATCTGTTGATATGTGGACTATATAAAATAATTCAAATGCTTGCAAGTGAGATAGTTGTAAAAGAATTATCCGTGATTACATAGTTAAGAAAAAGAAAATTGCGTGCTTTCTCTTTAAGATGCAAAAAAGTAACATAAGCTCTATGGTTTGAACATTTAACTGATTTTCAAATTCTTCTAAAATTGGCTCTTACATTTTTGTTTCTTGCTCTAACAGTTCGGCGTCTCAGCCTGCTCTTCTGGCAGTCATTCGCAAGATGTGCTGGCTGTCCCTCACCCTGTCTTCTGTCTTCCATTCCCACTGCCATTCCCCTGTTTGGGACCACGTTAGCTGTTGCCTGGGTTATGGAAATAGCAGGCTATTTTTCTTTCTTGGTCTCTAATCTCTCCTCTTAAAAATCCACATCCAAATGAGTCTTTCTAAAGTGCAGCCCGATAATATGGATTCAGCTCGTGAGGCCTTTCAGGAAGCCCTCACTGTTTATCAAATTAATTCTGGGCTCATTAGATTGATATTTAAGGTATCGGGCTTCCTTTAAACCAGCAGAACTGTCTTGATGCTGATTCCTCCATTGTCATCACCTCAATGAACTGCCGGTTATTTTCCCAAAAACTTTCCAGACTTTTCTGCTCTCGCAGCCTGGAATTACAAAGTTTCTCCACTTGCAGGAACCTCGCACCCCCATCCTAATTCCACCTTCTAAATATCTTTCAAGACAGGTTCAACTGTGACTACCTTCATGAAAGCTTCCTTAGTCCTTTAAGTCAGGATTTTCCTTCCTTCCTTCTGAATCTTTTATACTCCCATAGTGCATTGTTTTATGACACCTTTTCATCTGCCTGTTATTATAGATTTTGTATATCTGTTGTTTTTCTCTAATTATTAAGTTCTGAATATCATAGTCAGTGTCCAGTATCTTTTTCTCTACCCATAACACTTATGACTGCTCCTAACACATACTCAAAACCTGATCAATATTTATTAATAGACTGATAAATGGGTCAGGGGGTGACTATTGTGACTTCATCCCCACTCTCCACAGATTTGTTGCTCTACAAGCATTTCCCTGTGAGAATTGGAAAGTTACTACTTCACACTTTTCTAGTGCTTTCAGATGGCTTTGCGAAGGATGGTTTTAGTTGTCTCGCAAAAACCCTGTACAAGCAAGGAAGCCATGGTCAGAGGAGTAAATATGACTGTCCTAAGTATCATTTGCATGTTTAAACTTACATTTTATTACGAATACTCTTTTATATTATTTCATTTGCTCCTCTCAGTAAATCTGCGTTAGTCAGTCAGGAAGCTTAGGAATGTTTTTGCGTATGGACCACGTACCAGGTACTGTTGCCGATAAGGGAGGCCGAATCGAGATAGTGTCTCTTCCGTTAAGCATCTTGAGTTCTAAGTTGAGGGAGAGGCACAATAAATTTGTGATTCAAACAAAATAATCTCAAGTGTGGATAAATGCTCTGAAGAAGAAAAAAATAGGGCAATGTGCTAGGGAGTGGCCGGGGCTGGGAATAGAGGATATTGCTTTGTATGTGACTGTCAGGGAACAGCCTGCTGAGGAAGTGATATTTGAATTGGGACCAAAATCCTGGGAAGGAGGCAGCCAATGAACAATCCACAGAAAGAGCCTTTCTGGCACAAGAAAGGCCAGAGATTTTCTCAAAGAGCAGGAAGAAGACCGATGTGGCTTGAAAGGAGAAGGGAGGGGAGGTGGCAGCAGATGGTGCCTGAGGGGCTGGTAGGGGTTCCTGTAGGCCTTCTCAGCCATAATGGAGACTTATGGCTATTTTTCTTCTGCTATGGGCAGTTATTAGAAGATTTTTCAGCAGGGGAATATTGTGATTGTTCTGTTTTAGAAATATTCTAGTTATTGTTTAGACTAGAGGATGGACCGGGCAGGCGAGAGGTGAGTGATGGTGGAGATAGGAAGTCAATAGAACAGGACTTGGAGGTAAAATGGCTTTTCGAAGGTCATGGACACTAAGGATTGGATTGAGGAGGGAGTCTTTTGCCACTTCATTGCCCAAGATCATGCAGGTCAGTGACAGAGGTCTTCGGATTTTTATGGTAATGTGACTAGCATATGATAGAAATACTTTTTAGGGCCAATGAGCAATTGACTGGTTTGTTTTTATTGATATAGCTAATGAAAGGGGGAAAAGGCTGTGTATAGTCTTCTTTTTTTTTTTCATTTGGTTTCATTATGTTTAGTCTTAAGTTATTCCTGTATCTTCCATTTTTTATATGATTTGAATAATATTGCTTAAAATTTATATGCTAACTCATTTCTTTCTAGTTACAGGATTTTGGTGGCCATTTAAAACTACTTTCCCCCATGTCGAGCTTGCGTTTTAAAACAATGCAAAGGAAAAGATTTTGGAACTAATCATCATTTGAACTATACTTTGATGAATAAAAGTATCTTATAGAGAAAATGGGGAAAATAATATTGAAATTTTAATTTAATCATATATATATATATAGTCTCGTTATTAACATTAAAATATTTAAAATGTCTTTAGATCTCTCATTAAACAAATAAAATATTTAGCCCTAGCCAGTTTGGCTCAGTGGATAGAATGTTGGCCTGAGGACTGAAGGGTCCCGGGTTCAAGGCCGGTTGAGGGCACTTACCTTGGTTTCAGGCTCCTCCCCGACTCAGGCCCTGGTCAGAGCGCTTGCAGGGGGCAACTAATCGGTGTGTTTTTCTTACATCAGTATCTCTCTCTGTCTTTCTCTCTTCAACTCTCTCTAAAAAGTAATGGAAAAATAACCTCGAGTAAGGATTTTAAAAAAAACAACAAAAAACACAACAAAAAACAAAATGTTTAAATCCCAAATGTTCTCAAATTTGTGAAACCACATCCAATTATTAATATCTAATAAATAAAATCCTAATTTTGTTTGAGATTGTGAGAATGAGCATTTGTACTGCCGTCAGTACCTGTCACCCTTAGAACCGAGGATTAGGATTGATCACCCATAGCAGCTCTGCAGAGAATTTCAGGGTCTCTTCAATCACAGGTTGGACATCCCAGGGCTGTTTTTCTTCCTACAGCTGGCTCTCCAGTCTGCTCTTTGTTGGCATTAGTTTGTGACCAATGTGTCAGGCACAGATGCAACAAATGGGGACGCAAAGATGATTAAAACAGCCTGTTCTCAAGTAACTCACCAACAAAGATGAACAAGTCAATCAGCAATTACAGTATCAGTTGACCAATAAAATGATATTCCACCTGGTGAGACAGAAGTAGGCCCCAAGCACCAGGCAGCGGGACCTGTTTTGCCCTGACGTCCCCAGAGAAAGCTTCCGGGAGGAGCTTGTCCCTGAACTGATTCTAGAAGGATGGGCCCCTGTTAGCCACATGAGGGTGTGACTGTCGGTCACTCCTTTCTACCTTCATTTGATTTGCAGCGGGGAACTTATGAGCATGTTACCCAGATGGTTCACAGACGGCATGGAGCGAACAGGTTTTGGTTTGACATGTAGCTACAGCTATTAGTAGCTACAGAATGGTAGAAATAATGAGCCATGATTTAACACCACACTGTCTATAAAGCACGTTCCCGTGTGGAATCCTCCGTAATGTTGCTGTAGGTTCACTTTGATTTGTACTTTGTCAATCTCTCTTCTAATGAAAACTTCCTCTGACTTAATACACGTAATCTTTTCTCCTCCTCCTCCTCCTCCTCTTCCTCCTCCTTCTTCTTTTTTGGTTTATTCTTTTCTCCATTTTAACATCACATTTATAAATGCTACATGGTGGTAGAGAAAATGGAAAGCATTTGCCCTGAGTTTGAGTAGCACCACAAACAGGAATACCATCCACAGGCATTTCTGATGCTCACTTATCGTGTCTTTCCTTAGTCCTTTAAGCAGACTTTTGAGGTTCATAGAGGCTCGTGGACTGTGCTGCAGCAGGTATGCGCAGTTTTTGGCTCAAATATCCATTCCGCTGTAATCTAATTAGAGAAGTATCAGCAAGGAGCAACAGAAACTGCTGGAGCTTCGTCTCTGCAGAAAAGGAGGCTGAGCATGTGGAAGCCAAGCTTTACCCAAATAGCTCACAGTAGGGGAGTGTGTCAGGACTGGGCCAGAGTAGGTATTTTTGTAATATTTATTTTTTAGGTCCTGCTAATGAGTAAACTATTCCCGGCTTTTATTTGGATAGTTTGGCAAGTTGGCATTACTTTCTGCAGATGATTGGGTTTTTATTTAGTGAATTACAGGTCTTTCTTTGATCTCTTAGAATTTAAATGGTCGGAGTGATTGAAAGCAACTGGTTCCCAAGTTCATTGATGTATTCCCGAATGGAAAGTTTTCATGTCTTCACAAATATATTATTAGAAGATGCATGTGATGAGTCAGTATCTTAACTAGATAATTTAATGTCATGCTACTAAAAAGTGGATCTATTGATTATTTGATGATCCATGTCTAATATGCAGCCAGCCGGGCACATAATGGCCAAATAACAGGCTTTTCCCATCAGAACTCAGAGCTTTGAACTTGCAAAATTCTTGGGATAGTTTTGGTTTGGAAGAAAGTCAACCATTCTGAGTTAGATGCAATGATTCTGAGGTCTCTGAGTAAAGACCTAGTTTACTTTTTGGCTTCTTCCCTCTAACAATTTCTTCCCTTACACTTCCTTGGAGTTTTGAATGTTTAAAATTGATGAGAATTTTCCATAGGATGATATAATGAAACTAAACCATAAAATGCCTCTTCTGTCTTACCTGCCAATGGAGATATAGGGTGATCCATAGACCACTGGTGTTTGGATTTATGGATTTTACCGGTCAATAGAATAAAAAATGGAAGGACAACATATAGTTATGAAATCCTTATTTTGATGACTATAAATAAGAAAAACACTAATATCCACCATCACGATTTTCTAAATATACAGGGCATCCCTCCAAAAATGTTTACACACTTTATAGCTGATAGCTTAGTTGATGTTTCTTTCTTTTCAGATCGAACCCATTGGAATTAATCATTATTCAAAGCGTGTACACATTTCTGGGGACACCCTGTATTTTAACATCAAAATGTAACAAGGATAAGATCTCCGAATAAGTGAAGTGTTTACCAAGAGAGGACAGTTGGTGGTGCTGCATTGATATTTTCTCCATGGACTGGTGAAAATGTCACCAGGGATTGTCATTCAGCCTTCGACTGTATGTTAGGAACTGCTTGCAGGAGACCTACATCCTCAACCCACTTCACAGAGTCTGTGGGGCAGTTTTTGGTTTCTCTGTAATGAATTAGGAACCTGCAAATGTATCCTTGTCTTCTTTGGCAAAAGTCTATTATTGAAGTTTTTAAAGTATTGAAGAGCGAATGAGGTAACATTATTTCACCTAACTATGTAGCTATGAGCTGATACTGGTCATGTGCTAAGGAATATGTGAAAGATACTTGAGGATTGGTCAATATATGTGCTTTGCCCACATTACTGGTCATCATTCAGTTAATATTATTTTGCTGCATCTCTGGCTCCAGTTTTTGCTTTCATTTCTTAATCACATTTCTCAAGATTTTTTGCTCATTTTAGTGATAGATTGCAATCTCCTTTTTGCTCAAAGAGTCCTTCAGTATTCCAAAGAATTCCCCAAAGAGGCCTGTTAAGTTTCTGGAGAACATTGAAGAATAAGGTAAATCATGATATGGAAATTTTTTCAAATCCTTGAACAGTGAATTTAAAATGGTATAAACCAGTTTTTAGAAAACGGCACCATAATGCCTGCCATATGGATATAAATATCACACACATTATTTTGACTATTGGCCACTTTTGAAACAATGGATTACCTTCATTGAATATTAAAAGTAGAAAATGCGTATATAATCACGACTTACTATTTTTTTTCAATTTTGTGTGTGCACAACAGGCAGCAGAGCAGGCATCTTCATCTTCATCTTCATCCAAACTGAGTGAAACACCGGGCTCTTTCTCTTCCCTGGAAAATACCGTAAAGGCAGCCAGCACTTTGCCCGCCTCCTGCTCGAAAGAAAGACAGTGCTTGACCAACATTGACAGTTCCTCTGCTGCTGAAGATGTGGGACCGTCTATAGCAATTGCTGTGGAGATCCACCAACCGGGACCCTCAGAGGCAGACGGTCACCAGGCCCTGGAGAAAAGCGTGGCCACGTCAGAAAGCGGGGCTTTGAACTCTTTATCTGGTGGTGACACGTCTTCATTGAGTAGCAACCTAGACCATCTGACTGTCCCAGACAAGCCTACGGGATCAAAGATGATAGACAGAGGTAAACTAATAAATTGTTTCTTTTTCCTTAGGGAATGAGTATTTGGGTGTGGATGCAGAACTCTAACGTTAATTTGTTAAAAGAGTGTTTAAAGTCATGAATGATGATGATGCAGTCATTTAGCTGCCTTGTGGGTTAAGCGAAGGGGTTATTTCTTTAGAGGAGTTTGCATGTAGAAAACCCCAGCTTCCAGGCCATTCATTATTCTCTATAAGTGTCACTAACCAAATGCTTACAGTCGACTAGAGACATGTGATCATAAAATAATATGTTTTTCGCCAATCTGAGGAAAAGCTTGACTCTTTTTTTGGTCCCATGTTCTATCTCTTAAGCTTGTAGGAAATAGATCAGGGTTTTGTAGACTGATATTTATAACATTACTTCCTTGTTTCCACACAAACTTAGAGCAACTACCTTCCCTGGACCACGGCCACAGACAAAGTTTGGGCTAGCTGGAAGGTTCCTGAAGGTGCCCATGTGGTTAGCAGGAAGACAGAGAATTTGCATACATTTTGGAGGGCAGCACTAGAACTTTTAAACACTCAGGGGAGCACAGTTTATGCTTTTGAAAACAAAATTTAAGTCTTAGCAAAGGAAAGCTCTAATGGAATGTAGAAATGAATAATGTGCATCTCTTAATGCTCTGTGATAGTAGGTTCTTACATTTTATTCAGTCTAACTTTTTACTATTATGTTCAATTATGGTGTGTCTTTTCTGATGGTTTCATGCCTTATTCATTCTGGTGGAAAACAAGCTTACCTGATATAAGATATTGAGCAATGATGCAGTGATGATTTTGGTTTTTATTTTTTAAAAATATATTGGTATTGATTTCAGAGGGGAAGAGAAAGGGAGAGAGATAGAAACATCAATGATGAGAGAGAATCATTGATTGGCTGCCTCCTGCACGCCCCACACTGGGGATTGCGCCCTCAACCCGGGCATGTGCCCTGACTGGGAATTGAACTATGACCTCGACGCTCAACCACTGAGCCACACTGGCTGGGCTGGTTTGTATTTTTTTAATGTGCTGTTGAGAGAAAATTGACTGGCTACATCCCCATGGTTCTTAGAGTGGCCTGATGGCATAGGTGACTGTTCTGCCCCCTCTCCTAGCCTAATCAGGGAAAGTTTTTTTTTAAGTTCACAGGTTGTTGTATTCTATTAATTTAGTATTTGCTCTCAGAGAAGTAAGGTCAAGGATTGCAACTGCAGAGCCAGTTGTGTGTGTTTTGTGTGCATATGTGCATTGTTCTAAAGAACGTGAATTGTAATACTCGGGTTGGGACCGCATTCTTCAGTCACCACAATTGTCACCACTTCCTGTGATGTTTCACACAGTTGACTTACCTGCCTGGCCTCTAATGACATTTTCAATTGTCACCCCTAGTTTAGGCCAACGGTCTACTTTACATTAAAAAAAAGTGGAGCGCATGAAGTTATTGGCAAAATAACTTACTTCTAAGGGTGAATGAGGTAGGAAAGGAAGAGAATAAAAGTGATGCCATTGAGGGATGGAGAGGGGCCGAGTTTGGACGGCAAGGAAGGAAAAACGTAGACTCACACTGTCCTCGGGTTTGCAAGGTGCTGTCATGTAGAAGAATATGGGCTTCATTTGTTTCTCCTCGGAAGGACACAACTGAGGTCAGCAGTGCAAGTAAAAGGAGGTTGTTTTAGGTTCAGCCTAAGAAACTTCTTTTTAACACTGAGAAAGTTCAAAATTGAATGTGCTCTTCAGAATGTAATGCATTCCTCGCCCCTGAAAGTGTTTTCTCATTCTGAGACAACCACTTTCACTGACCGTAAGTTGCTATTGTTCATTGTATTTGGTTTTACAAAGATATACTGAAGAGAGAATTTAAGTATCTCCAACTCAATGGCCTCTAACTTGATACTTAGAAGATCATTCCAGATATAGGAGTGGAGAGACTAAAGAAAATAATAAAATGTGCCACATCTATTCTTTTCTGCCGAAAACTTACTTTAATCATTGAACCTTAGGTAGAACTAAAAACCTGCATACACACACACACACACACACACACACACACACACACACACCACATATACACACACAGAACCCCAGAATGAGAATGGTTTCAAAAGCAAAATAGATAATAAAATTTCATTTGCATTCTTTCCCAATAGATAACCCTGCAGATTGAGTTGACTTTAGGGTGAATAACATGAGAGTCATGGGAAGACGCGTGAAGCTCTTACCCATGTCTAAATGTCACTCTTGGGATGCATGTGCCACAGAGCCTGGCTGGGCACGAACAACTCTTTTATTTGAAGAAAAGGAAGAAGCCTTGTATTTCTAAATGTTGAGTTAAGTGCTGAGTGACCAACAAAGTCTGTGTGCTTCCTCAAACCACTTGACATGAAAGTGCTCCTGCCAGGAGAAAGGAAGAGGAAATAAAAGTATTCTCCTCTCACTGATTTGTTGGCAGATGCCATATGCTACAACATTTTTGCTGATGATTTTTTTTCCTGCTCCTGGGGGTTTGGTTAAATTCCCAGAAGAGCTAAACTACATAGAGTCATTGCTATGGAAACAGCAACCCTGTCTTTGCTTGTGCTTCCGATGACCTGCTATTGAGTAATCAGATTGTGTATTTTGCATGTTTTTAAACATGTGTGTGTTTGTGTGTTGGAGAAGGTAGCTTTTCATTTTTGTGACTTTTAAAAATTATGTTTTATCTGCCAGTTAAAAAAATACACAAAAGCCCTGAAATTCCTGTGTCTGAAATATTGTTCAGGATATTTTCATGACAGGGATTGAAGTTTCAATGTCCTCCAGAATAGGAGTTGGGATTTAAAATTAAGCCCCAGTCTCAAGATGCATTTGTGGAAGTAAGAGGCTTTTATCCTAGAAAATAAAAAAGATTCTTAAAGGTTAATAACTGAGTCCTGAAACAAGCAGACAGCATGTATTATAGCCTTCTTTTTATTTAGACAACGAGAGAAATATTTTGCAGTTGGTATGCAATTAAAATTGCGGTTGCTAGAATTCTATGCTGAACTTAAATATCCTCTTAGACATTTCTCCCCTGCTGTGCAAGCTATTAAACATGCACAATGCTAATTGCATCCTATTGCCTGTCCACATTGGGAGCTGCAGAGCTCCAGAGGTGTCCGGATTCTTCCTCGAGTCTTTCTACAAAGCCAAGGGGCAAAGAGGCGATGGGGTTAATGGAATGCTCATCTCAGCTCAGTTTTACTCTGTGCTGTATCTTTCCTTAGGGAGAGGCCATTTAGCCCCTGACTTATGCCTGTGTGATGATGACTCGCGTTGTTGTCTCTATTTATGTTGTGTTAACAACATGGAAGCAATTTCATTATACTTACTGCATGAATTGAGTGACCATACCCTGGATGCTGAAAGCTAATAACCACTAATGAGACTAACACCCAATTTATGCAAATATATTTTCAAGTACAAGTACAGCCAGAATTAATCTGGGAATCATGTTGAATAAAAAGCAGTTTTAATGAAAAGACAAGCACACTGGAGCATGTATGACATCCCAAGAAAGTGGCATAAATAAGCCAGATATTAGAATTTTGCAAGTTTTTTTTTTTTTTTTTTTTTTTTTTTTTTTTTTTTTTTTTTTTTACAGTTTGAATGTGAACAGTATAGAGGACACGTTATTTTAACCAGCTACTTCAGATGTTGCTGTAGGAATTTTGTGGCATGTCTGTTTAGGAAGTAAGAAGATAATAAGAAGAAAATGTTGAATACTGAACTCCATTCAAGTTAGCATTATTTTTATTACTTATCTGAGTACCTTACATCTATTCAGGTACTTTGTGTTAAAGGGAATACAAAGATGAGCAAGATACAATTGCTGGTATAAAACATTCTAACATCTAATAGGGGGAGTGGGAGGAATAAGACACATTTAACTAAAGAAAGCAGAGGAAAATAGGTGTCACAGAGAGATACGAAGTACTTGAGAGATTTAAAAGAGAGCAGGGACTCAAAGTATAGACTGTGACATCTAAGTGGGAGGTTCTGTGCATAGAGATAAAAGACATGGGAAAGAGAGATGGAAAAGAAACTTAGATGATGTAGAATACTGGGCTAGTTGTTAGTTTATTTCAGTAAGTAATGGATGACCGTTCTAACCAGGTTAATCTAGTGATTAAATTATACTTTATAAAAAACTAGAGGCCCGGTGCACGACATTCATGCAATGGGGAAAGGGGGGTCCCTCAGCCCGGCCTGCACCCTCCTGCAGTCCGGGACCCCTTGGGGGATGTCTGCCTGCCAGCTTAGGGCTGATGCCCCCAGGGATTGGGCCTAAGCTGGCAGCCTGACATCCCTCTCGCAGTCTGGGGCTCTCATAGTCCGGGACCCCTTGCTCTTTACTACCTGCCTGCAGCGGTGGCGGGAGATGCTGAGCTCACCAGCCCTGGGGCTTCTGGCTGAGCAGCGCTCCCCCTATGGGAGCGCACTGACCATCAGGGGGCAGCTCCTGCGTTGAGTGTCTGCCCTCTGATGTCAGTGCGTGTCATAGCCACCGGTTGTTCCGCTGTTCGGTTGATTTGCATATTAGGGTTTTATTATATGGGATTAGGTCAACTTTAGAAAATGGAGTAGAAGAGAATAAGAGGAGACTTACTCTCTTAGCTTCTGTAATAGCTGAGGTGGCTATGGAAATAGAGGAAGCAAAGGTGAGCCAAGAGGAGTTCTATAGCATGCCTATCAAGGTGAAGACTAAGCTTGGTCTTGTGTCTCTATTACTTAATGTAGTCTCTAGAAAATTTCCTAGTGATCCTGTTTTTTGAACTATGCTCTGAAAATGGGAATACATATTTACTATTGGGAAAATCTTGGCTCTATAATTGTTGACCTCAATGGCCTTGGTCTCAGGCACAGGTGACCCACCTCTTGCTTTCTCAGCTCCACGAATGCCTTTGTGAGATTCTCCCTGGGTAAGAGGAATTCGTTTATTTTCATTGCTTTATAGTACTCAGTTGTTTTCATATACCACAA